CTCATCTTGTAATAATTAAGTCCTTGATTCACATTACGTGTAACACCAGGATTTTTTTACCCATGACTAAAAAAAACTCCATCCCCTAAGCCTCTGAATAAGAGCTTCACATGCAATCGGCAAAATATACTTCTTGTTGTATTTTTAAAAATTCTACAATCTTTCAGTGGTCCATTTTGGTTGAAAGTGGTATTAAAACAAAATTTTATTTCCAAAGGAACGATGTTACCACAGACAGCTAATAATTTTCAAAAACAACACAACAACAACAGTTCTTCATCATAGCCTATATTGAATCATGGAGGAAATATTTCCTCCATGATTGAATACATATAGTGTGGCCTTAATGGCCCCAACAAGACATGTTTTGGCAGTAACTAGGAATAATTTGGAGATCACGCCTAAGCCTCTGAATAAGAGCTTCACATGCAATCAGCAAAATATACTTCTTGTTGTATTTTTAAAAATTCTACAATCTTTCAGTGGTCCATTTTGGTTGAAAGTGGTATTAAAACAAAATTTTATTTCCAAAGGAACGATGTTACCACAGACAGCTAATAATTTTCAAAAACAACACAACAACAACAGTTCTTCATCATAGCCTATATTGAATCATGGAGGAAATATTTCCTCCATGATTGAATACATATAGTGTGGCCTTAATGGCCCCAACAAGACATGTTTTGGCAGTAACTACCACCATCGTCAGTTATCATATTGCACACAGGCAATCATTTGTATAAGGGAAAGAAAATGCAATGTTTTGCATGCTAAGTTGTCGAATGAACTGTAATTATTTAACAAAACACAATATGAATAAAAGATGAAGTAAAATCAGAGAATCTATGCCTTAAGGGAGGAATGGAACAAATTTAAAATGACAAAGATAAATTAACATGAAAAATCTGTTTGTTCAGTGTTGGCTACTCCCACTGATTATGCAAAGCTTTTTTAATTTTAAGAAATCATATTTATATTTTTTTTATTACCATCCAACAGTAACTTTCAGCTGAGGCAAGGTTTTTTTATACCTTGTTTCGCAAACTTGCTGCCTGCCAACAATGGTGGTTTTAACAATATATGGATGTGAAAAGACAAAATAGCATTTCCACAGGAATATACTTTGAAAGACAAATAAGAATTTTCGTGAAATGCTCTATATGTATTATAGTACTATACTCCAAAAAATGGCAAATTATAACAGATTTAATCAATTTTAAACACACACAGTCATGTGAGGAGCGCAACTGGTCACGATCTGTCAATTAATTAATTTGTTAATTGATTAGAGCTTGTCATGGATTAATTGGTTTGATTTAGTAAAGTAGGTGTATGTGAGAGTTGAGAATCAGCTTAATTCTAGTTCTTAGGCACGTTTTCTGTATCACTAGATAACAGACTGTCCAGAATCTATGAAAATTTAAGAATAAGAATTGGAACAGTAGGTTTAGTACAGCACTAAGACCAGACTATTTTTTATACCTTGTTTCGCAAACTTATTTTTTTAAAGATCATCAGTGGAGGGCAGAAAAAAAAAAAAAAAAAAAATTGTTTCTTATCCAGCAAACTGCTTTGCCAAAAACATCCAAAGATGGACAAAATAAAAATAAATTTTATTGGTGAATATAAACAGTGAATAAATGGGGTGGTTGAATGTAATATAATTAGGAAAAAATACACATACTCTATCTGATTTTTGGAGATTTCAAGGCAATAAAGAATTTTTTTTCTGAAATTTCTATTTTTTCGTGGAAGCTATTTGGTCAAAAATAAAATTAGATTTTTATTCCAAATCATCATTATTGGTGGGCGGTGGGTTCGGTAAACCATGTATAAAAAAAGTCTCGCCTAAACACATAGTGGAGTTGGATAGCCTAGTGGTTAAGATGCATCCCTTCTAATTCAATTCCTGTCATGGTAACAGGACTTTGTCATGATCAAAACAACTCCACTCTCTAAGCCTCATAATGAGACGGTTACTCACTGCGTGCGACGGCGACGTGACGAAGGAGGCACACGAAGAGGCAGACCCAACGGATCGTCTTTTATGAGGATCCGTTCAGATTGCCACTGACAATCAGCAGACGGCGTTGCGTCGTCTATCGCTCGCCAGAAGCAAATATGGATTCGTCGTGCGACGGTCGTACTACGCAGCGAGTGTCCGGCATTAGTCCATGTAGAGTATCTTGTGTGTATGTTTGCCTTGTGAAGAGATTTTCACTTAGTATTCTGTTGGCAAATCCTTGGGCTCTTGTACCAAAATTTGAATAACAAATCTCTTTTTTTTTAATTAAATAAAATTCACCACAGAAAGCATATCATTAATTTTAATATTTTCATCCTTACTATTATAAGTATTCAAATAAATCAAATCAAATTAGATCTAAAGATCCGAAGAATCTCACAAATTGATCTCTCTCAGACACTGAGAAAGGACAAACGAAAATTAAGGAAATCAGAAAATCTCACACATTTTTTGGCATAATGTTTGAACAAAAGTTGAAATGTTTTTAAATTTATTCCACATTTCAATGCAGAGTATCATAACAAGACAACAAAAAAGAAAAAATGTCAATTCACTTTAAAATTAATGCAGAGCTGAGAATGCCATGGTGTGATTGATGTGGAATATCTCCATTTAAAGACCAGATTCCTTCAGCAGAGCTCCTAACCAGACTAGGGATCAAGTACATAAACACCCTTCTTGGAAGAGGACGTCTGAGCCGTTTTAGACATATCACCCACATGGAGGATTTATTGACCAGGAAGTGTCAAAATGCGAATGTTGTGGGACCTAGGAGTAGAGATATGCCATGAAAGACATGGTAAGAAGTAATTGGTGGGGGACCTGATGTTCATGGGATTTGATGTGTCTTAATATTAAGTTAAGGGGGAGGCTAATTATCAGCCACTAGTCATGACAAATATGTGGCTATCTGGCCTCGATCTCAGGTTTACCAAATTTTTATTTAAAAAAAAAGTACTTTACAGGAATTCGTTATTCATTTATCTAAACTACATTTATAGTCGGCGACTCTTGCAACAATTCTGATATACAGAGGCGCACTTATTTAACTCAGAATACGAACATCAAAAATTTAAAAAAATAATGTAATAAATCAATAGAACAAATACAAATGGAGAGCTGCTATTCACAGCCATCTGGCCAACCCATGTAATATACAGTAATCATATTTAATAACACACATTTACATATAAATCATTGGAGCTACCTAGTATCATAAATTTGACCTTTGTTTTTGACTAGGGACATAGTGTTTCTGACCAAATGATCCCTGAAATAAACTTTCCTTAACTTGGGATCTTACACCTGGTACATGTGTTAAATTCTTATGTATGGGTTACACAAATCTGATCTTCACCGTCTCCCAACAGACTCCAAACTTAGCAAAATTGCATTGAAACACATGGCACGTCATTGCTCATAAAACTTCTCAATTCTCAATACAGAACAGAGAGAAAAGAGACAGGAAAAGAAGATTAGGAATACGATAATCATCTCAGATTCTTATTATCACATTCAATGTGTTTCATTCTCTTGCTTATTATACATTGTACAGTCAATTATCCCTCAGGAGTTCTGCACGTAACATCACATTTTGATCAAAGTCACAAACTGTACCCTATAGCGACAGACGGTTCTCTGTTGCTCGGCATTACCAGGAACAATTCTTGCCGGGTAACATCGAAGCATCATTACGTCAAATGTTATCAACTATTGAATTTGCCATAAACGGAAACATTTTTGGGTCACCTGCTAGATGTACTGTTGTTAATTGTGGTTTATTTCTATAAATTTTTTCCCCTCACACATATCTAAAATATAGAATGGAAATGTCACAATCATCAACAATCATTGCCAGGTGTATCAAGGGGTATTGAAATGCGGAGGGGGCTAATGGGATAGCGTGATAGTGAAGTGAGGGGAAACAAGGTGATTCTTAATTACTTAAACATAAAATTTCTAATTGGGAACGGGAAACTGGGAGGTTAAACTTTTCTGGAGGAAAGCATACACCTCCCACGCATCCTTAGATACTCCACTAATCTTTGCCGCCACCCCAAGCTGCTCATTCGATTCAAAATACGGTTGTTGTTTATAATGATAATTGCAACTTCTGAAGTCAAACCTGGACAATAGAAAATTTCTTTTCAGGTACAAAACATTCACTGTCTGCTGAACTATATTATAGATAGCATTCATAGCTTAGAAGGCCATACTCAATTCATACATGTATATTTTTCAAATAAATCTCCAAGAACCTTCGTTCATCCATCGCTGTCACACATGCTAGTCATTGTTTCAGGTTTTGCCAAGAAAGCGATGACAGTGGCGTCATCAACAGCGACAACATTTACAATTATAACAATTACAATAATGGATGCCATTGTTCTTGGCACAGAAAATCTCAAAGCATTTTCCTTTATTACACGTTGACATTGAAAACCGTGATGCTTATACACAAAGTAAATTCCCTAGAGTTATATAAATAATAGTGTTATCATAGGGAAGACGCCAACGGACATTTGTATACTTTTTCCTCAAAAGAGGCCCTCCATCGTGTAAGGACTGGCTGGAGTAATGTCATGTCACAGTGGTATTGTCCTTATTTGGAAAATTTTATTATAACTATCTTCCCTGTTGAAATACATTGGAGGAAAATATATCACATACTGTATGAATATGTATCAGTATATATGAATATGTATGAGGTGTAAAAATAAGTATGCTATTAAAATGTATATATATAAATTAAAAGCAAAATACTGACAATTGCTATTGGAAACAATATATATATATATATAAATAAGTTTAATGCTGTATGAATATGCATGTATTAAGTATAAATATGTATGCAGAATGAATATGTAAGAGATAGCATGACTAATATGTAAGACTCAAGATGAAAATATAAAAGTTATACTTTGTATCTTATCATTGATGAATGCAATATAAGCAAAACAAAAATTAAACTCACTGCTTTGAAACCTCTGTACATAACCTGAAGTTCTTGTTTGTTAAACTTTGTTGTTTTGCATAATTCATCCAGACCCTCTGGTTTGTACCTTGCAGCACTCAGGTCCATGTCTTCTAACTCATTATCTGTAAAAACAAGCAATTTTCAAAGATAAGCATCAAACTTAGATTTTAAAATAATCAATCAAAAAACTTTCATGAGACATAAAACAAAAAACGTAACATTTGGAGATGAAGTGCAGCGCAAATGGCATGGTCCTGGATTTAATCATAGATAAACTGGGAGATTTTTTTCAACACTACCAAATCAACTGGTATGAGGTATTTATAATGCACCTCTTCCTTGAGGTTATAAAGTGCAGTTCTTTTGCCTGGTCATTTGGGTCCACATGCTTTAAGTGTTGCTGCTGGTAATCAGCGCAGGAGCAAGTAACCCCATCAGGTTCCCATTTATACTTCTGGGTGGAGAGAAGCAATGCAGATAAAGTGTCTTGCTCAAGGAAACATTAAGCGAAATGCACAGCGAGGGATTGAAAGTCTGACCTCGAGTTTGGAAAACCAAACCGATCTCGCTGCACCAAACCGCTTCCAACTAAACATCACTTCCAAAGTGACTTCGGTTGTAGAGATATCCAAATAGATTTGTGCACAAAAAATTCTTTAATTAATAAATCTATAAGTATTCTAGTCATACATCAGATCTCATCAGAAAAATACTTTAATGATGAATCAGCTCTAACTTAATCACTATATTCATTTTGCTTGATTTATTGTAAATGGGACACAAATTTCAAAATACACACAGAACAAATTAAATGCTTAACATAAATGATTTATGAGAATAATTGTGAATAACAAAACAAACTTTGCATCAGATTAACAATAATAATAATAATAATAATAAATAATAACATAAATACTGAAATCCATTATGCTGCTTTCACTTTTTGATTTAAGATCTTTCATGTTTTATAATTCTTCGATATGTAATTATACTATATTATTTATGTGTTTTTCTAACCCTGGGAAAACAAATTTCATTTACTTCATATCAGACAATATATCAAACTTGAACATAATGCTATAAAGAACAAAACTGCGCATCAGACTGACAATAACAACATTAATACTGAAATCCATTATGTTGCTTTCACTTTTAAAATTAATATCCTTCATGTTTTATAAATCTTTGATGTGTAATACATATTATTTATGTGTTTTTCAACCTGACAATAAATCAAACATAATGGCACAAAAATTGAAAAACCTTCTGATGAGTAGAGAAAGGAAAATGTGAAAGGGAAGTGCCTTACTAATAAGGCAAACATGAATGAACCATGGGGATTTGAACCCTCCACCTCAAAGGTAAAGGCATAATATCTGCTTCATCATTACTCATTTTAAAATCATTTCATTACTTTTGAATTCTACAGAGACGCAGAAAAAAACTGCAGCCATAAATTAATACACCAATAACTTTTCTTTTAAAAATTTAGGATTTATTGTACTGATGACAATTTTTGTTCAACTGAGCAAGGCATCAGATGTTGTTGACTGCGTAATTAGCAAATAGCAATATTAGAAGTGAATTAAAAGTCACATCAACCTTGGAGTACACTTAAAATCTCATCATCATCCCAAACATTATCAATATCATCATCCTTATCTTAATTATCCTTCCTCATTCTAGTATGCAGAAAACCTTTTAAGATCAAACATGGGGAGGGGGCACATCTAGATGTGTATAAGAGACAGAGTCATAATTGCTGCCGTTGAGTTTCCATAATTTCCTATAATGTTGCATATTTGAAATCTTCTTTTAATTTCTATTCTTTGTTTCATTTGTTTTTAGGTAATGATTATTAAAGACAGATAGCATTTGCTAAGTACATGTTTGTTGTCACTTGAACAAGATTTCATGTTGCAGGTTTGTCCTAGCTTTTAATCTACAGTTGACACTTGACATAAAGAAGCTAGGCCTACAATGGTGGTAAAAGTTTGTGGATTATGTCAAAATGCTATTCCTGTATTGCTGAATGTGCATCATATACCGTACACAAACAAGATTTTTCTTCAACGGAAATGTTGTTGCTCCATTAAATATAAAGTACCGGTAGACCGACAACAGCTATTACTACTTCCAATGAAGCCAATTTATGGTTTGAGCTGTGCATGCCTATGTCAAAGGTCAATTGACATAAACCTATGTTGTGTGTATGGTGTTTATGTGGATTGACCATGATATGGCATGTGCAGTTCTAACTACGAATTGGCTTATTGAAAATTCTGGGGTTCAAATCTGAAGCATGGCAAATTTACAGATTGTTATTAAAAATACTCTGTTGCGCACGCGTTGTCGCGTTGTCAGTCTAATTGAGTATCAAATTTTATTTGACAAAAACATGTGACATGCTTAAATTATGACATCGCATCATGACCATATATAGGCATATCATGACCATATATAGGCACATCATGACTATATATGGGCATACCCGCAAGATTTGATTGAAAAAAACTGACTACTTTCTGCAACATTATGGAGTGCTCTTCAGAGACCTAAGAATGTATGATCCAAAGATGAGAATTAGGTGACATGCCTAGAAGCCATGACATGATGTGCTATAGCTAGATGTAATCAATATCAACAATAGGGGATGAAGTACAGGAACGTAGGCCCATACACCAGGATCTCATGAGGGGGTTTCCACAGAACCAAGGGGTTCTGGGATCATGGGGAAGGGCTCTATGTGGGCTGGAGAGATGGATATGATTCATTTTTATCATTTTTAAAGGAAGGGATGATTTGGTGTAGCAGAGGGGTTCAATGGAAAAGGGTTCAGCAAAACCACATAAACTACCCCTCCCGCTCGGTAATACAGGCCTTGAGGTATTTGTTTTTGCAACTTGTCTAAAAATCTTGCAAAATACAGAGATTTCAACAAGGATCAACACCTTAGTTTCCTAAATCCAAGTCCTCAACTAGTTACTAATATCTATGGTAATTTATATCATCAGATACTATTACAGCCGCAAGCAAATCTAAATTCTAATTTGACATTTCAGTGAGTAAAAAGCTATGATTAAACTTTAATTAAACGCTGACGTGAACAGAAATCTCCTCACAAATATAATGAATACAATGCATCAACATGAAAGTACAATAAAGGGTACAAAAACAAATCTATTTGTCTTTAACAATATACCATAAAAAAGATATGTTGGATGACGGTAAAACTTTATAGATACCGTGTTAATAATGATTCCTTAGTTGTTTCAATGTAAAGTTTAATATAATATTCTTCTAGAGAATGAATATGACACCATTATGACCATATATGGAAGGGATATGGTATCATCATGTTCATATATGGAAGTGATATGGCATCATCATGCTCATACATGGAAGGGATATGGTATCATCATGCTCATATAATGACAGGAATATGACAACACCATGCTCATACATGGAAGGGATATGGCATCATCATGCTCATATATGGAAGTGATATGACATCACACTCACATATAGAAGGGATATGGCATCATCATGCTCATATATGGAAGTGATATGACATCACACTCACATATGGAAGGGATATGACATCATCATGCTCATATATGGAAGAATATGACATCTTCATGCTCATATATGGGTAGGTCTAAATCACAGGTATTTGCCAGAGAAAATACATTCTATGCACAAATACACAACCAGATAGCCTATAAGTACTGATTAATTATGCCCTTATTTCTTAGAATGCATGTGTCGTCAGCTCTTTAAAAGTGGAATTTCTAAACAAACCTAAAGGTATATAAAGTCAACAGCTCACTTTCATCATGAAAACATAAATAAACATTATATCTTCCTGCTCTAAATAGTCTGCCTAATTCAAACAAACATAAAAAAAAACACACTCCTCATAAACATTTTGCGCATAATTTAAATCAGAACGATCATTGGTATACTATGCTAATTCGTATTGCAACAAATTAATACAAAACACCATCAATACTTTCTCATTAAAATCACAAAACATATGGCAGAACAGTTGCTAGACGAACAATAAAATCATAATCAAATATCTCGCAAATGTCCTAAACCGACAAGCCAGCGTGCATTAGCCACTTGCAATGGCCTACACATAGCAACAATCAGTAATAAATGGACTGATTCCCTAGTAACCTAGAGTCATAGGGATTTATAAGCTTATAAGGCAGGGGGACAGCTGTTCGGTAGAATATTATAATGACTTTATGGGGCAATGACCAGATGTAGCCTTCAGCTTCAAACGATTTATTTCTAAAAGGAAAGATTTTGATAGATAAATCCTTATCGCTAATTGTAAACAAGATGCAAAAAAATTAGTATACATATCTGATTAAAAAAAAAAAACGTATAAATAATGAACTTGGTTCCACATGAAATGGATAACTCTACAAAATATTTTTTTAGATTATAATCTACCATGTTATTTTATTCTGCATAATATATATCATCATCATCATGAAAGACACAGTGTACAAAATACACAGGGATCCCAAGGCTTCAGGAACTCATGGAGTATCCCAGAAAAAGGGACGGCCTCCTGCACACCCGCAAACAAGCAAGAATCTCCTAGAAATCCACCCATCTCTGAAAATGTATAATCGGGCATGATTTCACTGTTTTATTATCAATTTTCTCACGGAAGCATTGCCGATAGGTATTACTATGTGCAGCAAAATAAAATTAAATGTGTTAAGGAAGCGATCCAACACTTCGGCCGGTGCGACTCGTGTCGTGATGCTGAACACCGGCAGGCCTCTGTAGATTACGGTCGGTAGAAACCATGGGCTCTCATTAACCAGATCAGTGGTGGATTCAAGGGTAGGGGACAGGCGACCCGGACCCGGGTCCACTAATTATTTCAAAATGAATGGGGTAGGAAAAAAAATCAAATTTAAGTCAGAGAGAGCCATTTCCAGTCATCTAGAGGTGCCATAATCATAAATTTTCTTACCTCACCTCCAACCATGGTGAGACTGAGGTGGTCTAGACCCTGGTAAAAGTCCCTCCCCGCCCCCTTCCCCACCTTTTAACCCGCCACCGCAGATCTAACGGAAATGACTTCTTCCAACTTGGA